TGTCAACAAAATCATTGAAATGACGTTAAATCCAAGGACTTTTTTTTTTTTTTTTTTTTTTTTAACAAATGGGTTCACTTGTTATATTTATATTTTTTAAAAAGATTTTTATTTGTAAATCAAAACGCCTTTGTATTTAAGTGTATTTAAACATTTTGTTGATAAAAGACAAAAAATGGTCATGCCACAATAATACTAGGACCAAATAGATGTTTTGAAAAATAAAATAAAATAAAAGTGGAATGTTACCTATAAATGTAAGGCAAAAAATTGAATTAACTCTAAAAAATTTGACAACAAAATTAAAGTCTCGTTGCATTATGAATATTGATTGTACAATTAGAATTTCCAGGCTAAATTTGTGTCACCATAAATAAGCTTATCATTCCCTGTATTCATCTGGAAATTGAGAGTATATTACTTTGATCTACAACTCTACAAGAAAATTCACAATTATTATCAAAGAGTGCACTTTAAGTGAAGCCTGTAGTCATAAAAGATTGTTACTGTAGTATCTGTTCATATATACTTTCTCAAGTCAATACCATCTCCACTGAAGCTTGCCCCTTGACTACAAAGTTTTTAGCATTAAGTAAATCAACTTAGATTCTTCATAATTGACCGATTCAAATTAAGAATTTCAATAGACAATAAACATGTCTTACCGGAAGTTATCAGGCCAACTGTCCAAATTAGTTGGGGTTGTCCCAATTGAGGGTATATTACTTGTTTATGCTACCTGCGCTCTCATCAGATATATATAAAACACTGTCACATACAGTACAAGAGAATCATCCCAGAACATTATTTCGTTGTGAACTATGGATTTCTCTAGTAGACTCCGGCCGATTCCCAAATTTCATTTTCTGGGACTTGGAAATGAACAACGTTACAGGCCGGCTGCTGTTTTGATGTTTTTCACGCACTGCACACCCGATATGATCCTATATAACTGCACCCTAGCCTCATCGTCAATACTAAAATTAAACAGAAGATCGATCAGAGAAATATATATCAGCAAATTAAAGTGATCTAGCTAGCTAGCTGATGGCGAGCAGAAACAGCATAGCAGTGGTTTTGTTGACGGTGATGATGGCTTTTGCCGTTTGTTGCAACCTCGGAAACTCTCTGCCGGTGGACGTCTTCTTGCAGAAACTTAAGGATGTCAGCAATGGCGAATCTGAGACGACGGCTAAGGATCCGAAATCCTTAATCAGATCTCGTTTGCTGTTGGAGGTGCATGAAAAATGCCCTTGCTGGCCGTCTTGCTGCTGGGACAAGGTTGATCAGAAGAATAATTAAGAATCGATCTGAGGCATGATATGATATGATGTACTTTTTTATCGCCATATAATATATATGTATGTATTCAGCTTGCCAGTGAATAAGGCGATCAATATCATTGTAATTTAATAATTAAGCTAAGCATGCATGCATGCATGTGTTTAATTTGGTTTTACTATGCCATTGTATCATCTGATCTATGCATAAGTTAATTAAAACTAGCTTTGACCAGGATTTAAGTACCATTGATATGATCGATGTTTGAATTTAGGTTAGCATTAGCCTTTCACCTCCATCTTGCAAATATTAAAACTACCATGATCATCTAATTTAGGGGGCAAATTTTTTTATTATTATTATTTTTTTTAGCACTGCACTCATAGTTTCCGCCATGTTTGGTAAAATAGTTAACTTTATCAGTAAATTTTGACTTATTTGATCACTAATCAATATTCATTATTTGACTTGGTTAAAAAATCAATATAAGTGTTTAGTTTAGTTATATTTTTTTTTAATTCTAAAATGCTAAAATTTAAAAAACTGCTCAAAATAACTTTTTTAATTAATTTTTTGAGAAAAGAAATTATACCAAACATTTAACAACTAATAACTAATTTAACAAACACTTTTTTTATTATCAACTAGTTATACCTTCTAATTAACCCAATCAGCTAACAGCTAACAGCCATTTACCAAACAAAGCCAACAACTTTTTATTGTTGGTTATACCTGCACTTTCTAACATGCAATTCTTTCAAAAATTTTAGCATATGCAGGCATATTCTTTATCATATATATCAGGGAGATGTAAGTTAATATGAACTTTAGAAAAAATATCTTAAACCTCTTTAAAGAAATTAGATTTGTTTAGCCTATTTGAAAATGGAATTGAGGTGATGTATGTGGTAAATATACTGGGATCTATGAATACACTTACGAGCCTTCGAGAAGTAGGTTGATGAGCTCGGGATAGTTAGACAATGGGTCGGACATTTTCGAGCTAAGATGTATTGTTCGTGAGAAAATTCCAAAATCCCTCCCATATGTATTTAATGTCCTATTTATTGGAGTTAAGAAGGAGCACATGCTGGCCGCCCGGCATGCTCGCCACGTGTTTCACATGCATTGGCTTAGTCGACGACACTTCTAATATGTATACATAGGTGATGATTCCTAGCAAGCCCATTTATGATGAGATCGGGCAGAGTGATAATGGAGGTATTTGTCCTCTTGCGCAGTGGCATCCCATCGGGGAGATCTGGTCCGAGCGCTAAGGTCGGGAGTACTCTCATAAGGTGCTGCGCAATAACTAATAATATGAAGGGACAACTCCGTACCTAAACTCGGGCCGAATGGGACCCAAACGGGGTCGGCCCGGATCAGATAGTGTTCCCAAGGGATACGAATGTACTGAGCGGATACACGATCATATACCCGGGGGTTATTCCCTAATAGGGGCACATAAGGCTTGGGAGGTACATAAGGATCCTCTTCCTCGAAATTTTCATTTTGTACAAATTTGACTTTTTCCAAACTTTCATCAACAATTATTAATGAATTTTATGAACTTTGCTTCTTCTAGTTGACTTGGTAACCTTCCTTGAACATATAATTTAGAAAGTGAAGAGGAACTATTTTAATTTGCATAAAGAATCATGATTATTGCTTCATGAAACTATAATATAGAATATATGAGAAACATTAGGTACTTCACAAATCACAACCACAACTTCACCGGCCGGAACATATATCATACAGAAATTGCACGTATAATTGTATAAACAGTAAAACCAAAGGATATATGAGCGAGAGACCTTTGGGCGCATGCATTCATGCATGTATGCATGCTTATTAATACAACAACGATTTATATAATTATATATATATATTCTTAAAACAGCAAATTAAATCGCCTTATTCACTGCAGATTGGCGATCGATCGATCTACCATATCATCATCATCAGATCCTTAATTAGTTCTGCTTTCCAACCTTTTCCCAGCAGCAACTTGGCCAGCACGGACACTTTTCGTGCACCTCCAACAGAAAACGAGATCTGATTAAGGAATTCGGGTTCTTGTACCCGTCGTCAATGGCGGCGCCGCCGGTAACATTATCATCGTTGGATGCCTCCGACGAGGAGTTGCCTACGTAGCAGCAGACTGCAAAAGCCATGATCAAAATCACTGCCATGCTCTTTTTGCTTGCCATGTTTGTTTTAGCTAGCTAGGTAATTAACCAGATGATTATAGTGCATGCAGTTATATAGGATGTCTGATCTGTCTACGAACAGTAAACAGCACAAAGCTAGCATAGGTATTGTGGTTTTTCGATCAGGAAGACGTTAAAACTGCCGTCATAAGTCTCTATCTATCTCACATTGTTCTTCTTATGAATATAATCTTACAGTCCTTGGAGTTGAAACCATGGGAATTCAATCAATGAGAATATGCGGCGAATTCGATCTACAAACATAATAATAATGATTTAACTAATTAACTATAGGTATTTGAGTGGGGAGACCAAAATTTCAAACTCGACCAGTCACATTTGGCTCCGTCCTAATTTGCAGTTCTCTTTCTCATCTACTTTAATTTAAGGGGAAGAACTATGAATTGGAATAGATATCAAAGTTAAGTCCTTTTTTTTGTTAAACCACAAGGTGTCCTGAACACGTTTTAACCGTAGGAAGCACTTTAAGTTCGTTCCATACTCATACTAAATTCCCGTTCGCACTGGGTCGGCCCAATTAAGAGGCCAAGTGCTCGCCAGATTGATTTTTCTATACAAGAGCTTAAATCCTTTTAGGAATAAGGTTCAAATTGGCCACTGAACCTAACCTGAAAATGCAATTAGGCCACTGAACTAAAAAAAAAAAAAGTGCAATTAGGACACAAACACTCCAAAAACGTGCAATTAGGCCACTGAATACTCCAAATGTATGCAATTTTACCGGATAGCAGGTTACCATCAATTTTAGCAAGTTACATGCTTACGTGGCAGCTGAGTTGGCATTTTTAATAATTTTAATAATAATTTTTAATAATAAATTTATAAAAAATGAAAAAACATTAAATTAAAAAAAATCAAAAAATAAATAAAACGATGGCGGCCACCCTGTTGTTTTTTTTTTTTTAATAAAAATTATTATTAAAATTTATTAAAAATGTCAACTCAGTTGTCACGTAAGCAAGTAACATGACAAAATTGATGGTAACCTGCTATCAGGTGAAATTGCATACATTTGGAGTGTTCAGTGACCTAATTGCACTTCTTCCTTTTTTTTTTTTTTTTTTTTTCGTTTAGGTCAATTGCATTTTCAGGTTACGTTCAGTAGCCAATTTGAACCTTATTCCATCATTTTATGAGGCTCAAATTGAATCTTAATTTGAAAAAGACGAAAATATCCTTAATAATTTCATATTTCGATATGTCGTAAACAAATGAATGATCGGCATGATTAATTTTGGTATTAAAACAATATCCTTAATAATTTCATATTTCGATATGTAGTAAACAAAGGGATGATCGGCATGATGAATTTTGATACTAAAACAATAGTTATGGATGAAAATCGGTAGAAATTAAACATCTAGACTAAAACTATCATTTTACTAATACTCGTGGGACCAAAATTGATATTTGCTCTTTTGATACCCTATATTTTATAATGGTGATTGTTGTGAACATTTGGGTATGTTAATGTAATTATAAATGAATATTGTTACCCTTTCTGCAAATTATGTAAATTAGAGAAGCATTTCCCTCCCTCGGCGGCAACATTCTCAAACACTGGAATGGCGCCGGAAAATTGCGCAGCTGACAAAGACATCCCTGACGCCGCCGGCGACTTCCAAACAAGACGAAGGATATGCGCCAAATGCGACAGGCCAGCAAACGTTTGCTTATGCGCTACAATCCCACCCGACCCGATTTCGAACCTGACCCGAGTCGTTGTCCTCCAGCACCCTCACGAGCGCCGCCACAAGCTCGCCACTGTTCCTGTTCTGTCCAAGTGCTTGGGAAATTGCGAGGTCATTGCCGGACGGAGACTTCGTTATGGTGATTCAAAGGTCCTCGATAATCTTCATGATGAGGCAGTTGCAAACCCTAATGTGCCCCGCAGAGCTGTTTTTCTCTTTCCTGGTAGGTAATGTAAATGTCAAATTTTTTTTTTTTTTCTCTTACCTTATTAAGGATTGCAGTCCTTTCTTAGTTTTTGAATACTTAAACCGGCATCTATATGAGTTTCAATGTGATTTTATTCTTAAAACGTAATATGGGAGGGAAAGATCGATACTTTTAGTAATTTGTTGCTCATCAATGAACAATGCACCGTACCTTTCAAGAAGTGCATACCAATTTTTTTTATTATTATTTTTTTTAATGTATCAAGAAGCTAAATTTAAGGTACAAAATCAAAGCTTTGTCAAGATTTGGCTGAAAAATTAATTGAACCAATTTCTTTGCACCAAATTTTATACCAGCTGTCATGATTTGTGGCAGTGTTATTACCCTTCATATTCATGTGCCATTTATGAATTGACCAACTCCATAAGTCTGGTTAGATGATATAGATTAGGACAAGTAGCATTACCCTTACATTTTGCTGAGTTGTACTCTAGGAATGTATTTGCTTCATAATTGGTAGCTTTTTTAGCTACAATTCACCAAGTTGATTAAGCAATTTAAGTGTGTAATACTAATACTACTACTTTAGACCAATGGTTAGGCAATACGAGTCCTAAACTTTCAGTTTTTATCACATAGGAGTGCAAATAAGAACTGGAAACTTAATCTTTCCCTGAATGTTTCAGGCACAGAAACATCGGAATCAATGGAGATCAACCAGTGGAAATGTTCAACTAAAAATTTTGATAGAAGCAATTATGTCTTGATTGCTCTTGATGGAACTTGGAAGCATGCTAAGGAGATGATGCGTGCTAGCCTAGAATTTTTGTCCAAATTTGCGGTCCAAGTTTATTTTAGTTATGATACTAGCATTGATGGTGGAACAATTTTCGATTCTGATCTAATTCTCAGAAAGGAACCATTTGGTGGGTGTATGAGTACAATGGAGGCAGTTGCTCACTGCTTACAGGTTCTTGACCCTAATGGAGTTGAGATTGAAGCAAGACTGCTCGAGGCTCTAAGGACTATGGTTAGATTTCAGACTAGCTTTTTGAGGCCTATGAAACAACGGCCAAAGTTGGTTAAAAAAACCAAAGAGAATGAGTGAGAATTTACAAAATGTCCATACTTAAAGTGTAAGTTTTGTTGCTGGTGGTTCAATCCATTTACTATTATATTTAAGAGGCCAGGTTTTGCAAATTCAGAGCTTTGAGCTTAGTCACTTACTGGATTAAAGAAGGTTATTTACAAGTACCCATCCTTTTTAGGTACTCTTTGATCTAACCCCTGTTGTGTCTATTCTCTATAAAATAGCAGGCTTTTGTTAAGTTTTGTGTGACTCTCCAAGCAAACATCCAGTTGTCTTGAATAATGTCCAAGCATATGTGTTTATCCCAAGTGGATGCACGGGAACATATGCTTGGACATTCTTCAGGAATCTGGACAAAATTCTGCCTGGAGAGAGCCAAACACAATCTCAACTCTCAAGTGGCAGCACTTTTGGGCATTCCAGAAGAATACATAGCAATGGTCTAGAAACCATTCAAGCTCACTGTATTAACATCTTAATAGTCACGTGTGCTGAAAAGTGAAAATAGAAGATCATGACCTTCATATGGAATAGGGAAATCTTAATATCACAAAAAGAAAATTAAAAAAACCCCATGGCCTCATTGCTTAGTGCCTTGGTAATTTGTAGTTTTTCGGAATAACTATTTCCAAATATGAGTAGCTCATTTGGAGCTATGTAGCATACATCTACCTGGACTTTACGAAATTTGCATCATACGGATGTTAGGAATATCCATGAAACTAGCTTTGCACTTTGCTTGTTAGGTTTTACCGTTTTAAGCTTCTGATAGAAAAGTAATAGTCAGTTGACTACCATTCTACTTTATAATTCCTTTCCCTATAATCAATAAAGGCGACCCTCTTCTTTCCCCTAAAAAAGTAGTGTGGTAATAACTCCCTTTTCCATTTTTTTTTTTTTTCATGAAGAGCAATGCTTTTGGTTAAATCCATTAGCGAGCTTAGTATTTTTTTTAAAAATACAATTCATATGTGTGGCAAGTTTCTAATGCAATTGTATAAGCAAATATTGTATGTTTGTATTTCAGATTTTCAGAGTTATCAAGCATATCAGCCATTCAATCTGGACTAATTCCAACAAGCCAGAACTTTTGTTTGTTCACAAGTCACATTTATTGAAATGAACCAAGTTGGTTTCATTGCCTTCATGTGAATGAAGATACCAGAGTTTGATTGGTGTTGGTTGGACTTGTAATCCTGTCAAGTTAAATGCACATATTTGCCAAACTTGCCGCCCGGTTTGCTTTGCTTTGCTTTTAGGAAATTCACAGACATAGCCTTGAATTCAGATACAGTTGCAAAGTATCCACATTCAGAGGATGTATCAGAGAGGTTGCTAAATCACATTACAGGGCCACCAGACCAGGTTTAGCGGGACTTTGTCAAAGTTGTGAGATATCTCTACTCTCTATGTGTTTGAATCATGGCTTAAGCTTTTGATAAAAAGGGTGAAGTGGAAGTGAAGAAGAGTAAGAAGATTGGACCTTTAAGTAACATTATAGTTGATTTTGTGTGGTAGGGCCTAGCTTTAAAATTGATAAATCAGTGCAGGTGGCAAACTTAAGTCTTGACCATTTGGTTCAGGTCTCTTGTTTAATGGTTCCTCATGAATATAATTGTGGTTGATGCATTCACTTGAAAGTTGGGTGTTGTTTCTTTTATTGAAGCTGGTGCTGTGCTGTTATTGTCAGCCTGGAGGTCAGGGGCCCTAGTTTGCTTTATCTACCTTTTTGAGTGATAAGCATGCACTGTAAAGTGTAAAGCCCCTCTTGGTTGCCTACTCAAATTTTCAGTTGTACAAATATATGATAATATTCATTATGGTCTTAGAAAAATAGCACTTGCTACTATAGTTGAGATCTTCAATCCTCTCTTCTGTCCTGAGTCATAGTCGTAATTTAATTTTAGTTGATCAATTTAAAGAGACTTAATAGTTCAACTTCTACAGAATTTGTATTATGTAGGGTTAAATTTTTATTAAAGACAAGTATGGAATTAGTTTTGTTCTGGACACCCGTATACAAACGTCCTTGAAAAATCAATAAGATACATCACCGATTTACCCCTTTACCAAGACAGGAAAAGGTGGGACCCTCATGGTTGGGGTGGAACCTTTACCCTTTTACGGAAACTTCAAAACAAGAAGAGGTGTGAGACTCTTATGATTCTGGTGTAATTCTTTTTTTTTTTTTTTTTAATTTTTTGAAAATTCTGGTTTAATCTTTTTAATCATCTTTTCTACCCTACCCTCACCTCTCTTTTGTTTGGAAAAAAGTGAAATCTCTTTCCCAAGGAACTCACATCCCGACTTGACAAGATTGTGGAGGGTGATTATTATGATTATCCAACGACCCATTAAATAAGAAGACCAATATTTGATGCTCACAAAGAGAGCCATCCTGACAAGAGTGAAACTTTCACAGTGCAATTGTGAGAATTTAATTTATCATTCAGAAAGTCAGAAACTAATTGAACTATTTGTGCAACACCTTCCCTCTCTTTTTCTCCCCTAGCTGAACTGTGAACGCAATTAAGATTGAATTGAATTAGCTAGTTGAAGTCTTTGTCCAGGATGTGGGGTTTGAGTTTATTTGAGTGTTGAGGATGGTCCCACAATTAAGGTCGATGAGGACGACAATGAAGTGTTGTGTTTAACCTGAGTTATGACAGGTGTGTACGAGCTATCATCTTTGGGATTAGATCAGAGAATAGTCAGAATACTATCATATATGTTGTTGAGAATGGCAGTGAAACTGATAAAGACATCATACGTCAACCTTCATTTCTCAACATTTCCTTAATGTTCGCTACGCGTAATTGCATAGTTGGAGTCCATAAACCCCATTTAACAATCGGTGGATCATTATTAAATTAGTCGGACTGTTGTCTTAATAACAATAAGATTATAAGTTTGATTATTTGCTGAAACTGTTTATTGGTATTTTTAGTTCAAACTGGTCAAGTATGGGTAACTTCTAATTCTTTGCTAGTTAAGATTACAAGGCAGATAGTGATTGCAACTTTCCCTCGTCACCCAAAAATGAAGGGTTTTGGTTTAATTTTCTCTATAATATGTGTATTCAAAATTGTTAGTTTTTTTTTTTTTTTTTTTTTTTTTTTTTTTTTTTTTTTTTTTTTTTATGTAAAACTTTGAGCATATGTTATTTGACGATAATGTTTTAATCATAACATTATAAATTTGGCGAGTTCAATACTTCAATTATTGTATTTGAGCGGAATAGCGTGATTGGATTATAAGTTTGAAATATGGTATTATTTCCTAGGCTCGTAGGGACGTGGTGTGCTAAATTGGAAGAGAACGAAAAGACTGGAAATGGAGCAAATTTTTGTGCCTCACTGCCTCCTGTTCCTAACATGGTAGCCTCCCCATGTGGTGGGAGATGCTATTTGTCAAAAGGGTAACAAAATTTAACTATATATATATATATTTTGGTACATTCAACTAATTAATTTAATAATATAATTTTAACTCAATGTCTCGTATCACTTACAATATGTATGATGGTGGTAAAACCGGCCCAATACATTTCGAATCGGGTCACACGATAAATGAGACCAGAGGCAAATACAAGGCAGGAAAATAGTATGGAGCAAAGTCTACCCTAGCAACCGCCCGTAGCCGAGTACAAAGGTGGGTTGGCCTGTTTGCAGCCGGTTGAAAAGAGGCAGACGATCGAAGGATGCGAGGGCAGGACGGGTCCTCTGTGCAGGCGAATCGAATGACTAGGAGCTCCGAGTATCCGGCCCAGTGGTCGAACGAGAGAGAGGCTCAGCGGGTGAAGCGTCCAAGCGAGTGCCGCGAGCAGCTGTTCGGGTCACTCGGCACCGGTCGGGCGCCGGGCGAGAAGGGCCAGCAGCCGGAAGGATAACCGAATGAGCAAGGGTAGAGGCCCGACTGAGGGGGTAAGGACCTGGAGTCACCCGAAAGGTGAGCCGAAGGGCCAAGAGCGACCGACCAGGCAGAATAGTCCGTCAAGAGACAAGATAGCTGACTCTTTGGAGGACTCGAGACCTGAAGATATGAGATCCTTAGATGATCTGGGACGGATTTATGGGGCGGCGAGATATGCAGAAGCAATAAGAAAAGAAGATCAACTGAGCTTAGGGAAAGAAATTAATGATATTTGGAAGGAAGATCCCAAATGTATTTATGGGAATGGGAGCTTGTCTAGTTTAAACCCTGCAATTCTAGTATAAATAGACTATTGTAAACCTTGAAAAGGGGCAACTTTCACGCATATATTGCAATAAAAATCATTTATTTTCTGGTCATCATGTTCTTGTTTTCCAGTGGTGTTGGCCCGCGGTTTGACAGACCTAAGCTAGTGGTCAATAAAACCAACAATGTACGTCATAGAGAGTTCGAATTTATGCATACACAATAATCCTTTTAGAAAAGCTGTCTTAGAATGAGGTTTGATATGATTGAAACTCGACTAAAAAATTAGTTTTATCCTACTATATATAAATACTAGTGTAGTATAAGAAGAAAATAACAAAATAGATATTGAGAACAAAGTTAAGACAATAATACATAGATTGAGTTTGATGGTCAATTAAGTGTTAATCTCTTGGTCCAATGATTTTTTATGCGTGTTGAGTCTAATTAAAACCACTTAATTGTATAAATAGCAACAATATGTATTTATGAGATCTTATAATACATCATAAGATTTTGAAAAATGCAAAAGAAGAAAGTCATTTGATATTGATGTTTGGTTTTTGGTGCAACATATTTGCCAGCTTCATAGGAGAATATATTTGATCATAGGATGTGTCACAAACACAAAGGTTTTCTCTCATGGAAAATGACAAATAGAAGATGATTGACATTTTAATTACTATGGTTAATTTTATCAAGCAAATCTATCCTTTTGGTTTTCCGTATATTTTAAGTTTGAGGCAATGTTGATGGGACATCACATCACCCTAATTTTTATTTTTTATGTGTACATATATGTACTAAAATTTAAAGGACAGGTATATCTTAATTATATTAACACAATTGCTATTCATCATTACTTTTTTTTTTTTTTAATGGTCGTTTCTACTGGGACTCAAACTCATTACCTTCAATTTGAGAGAGCTACTTCATGCTACTAGATCACAAGATCGTTAGCTTTTTTACGCATTTTCAATTCTAACTCACTTTTAAAATATAATATAATACGTAATAATATTCATTTTATTAAAAAGAAAAAAGAAGTTGGCCCAACTTAAATGACTGAGTGAGAGTAATGGTGTCAATATTAACGTAATATGGATGGTTAGAAAAAAAAATAATTATTATTTGATATATTTAAATTAATACCCCTTTCAAGGGTCGGGTGAACTAAGTTATGTATTTACATATCTTATTATATGGTAATTCAGGATTCATATCTCATTTTTCTGACCTTTATAAAACATACCAACAAATTTATAAGCATACTTCTATATCTAAATTTAGAATCATCTAATGAAAATTATTCAAATATATATTTCTTTGTTTAAAAAAAAAAAAACTATACCAAATTATTAGATGTCATTTGACTACATTTCACTTGGCAACAAAAGTTAATTGATTTTGTTTACCTAAGTGCACTTGGTTAGTAGTTAGTGCAAACGTTTGGCCCACTTTAGGTGTCTACCTCACAATTCAAGGCTAGCAATTAAGAGTAATTTCATATAAGAAAAATCATACTTGTATTTTTAAGAATATACATCCATAATTTTTTTTTTTTCCTTTCTAGCTAAATTTTTAACTTATAATATGTTTTTTTTTTTTCGGACAATAAACTTTTTATATTTATTAATTTGGTAGAGTTGGAATGTCAAAGTGGGACAAATACTATGGAGTAGTTTATATATCCATAATAAACAAATAAAGAGAGCAAAATAACGTAAAAGTTTGGAGTTCATCATATATGAAGACTGTGGACCGATTTAA